CCCCAAAACCCCAAAACCCCAAAACCCCAAAACCCCTTGCTTGTGCTTACTATTGAAATGCTTAGGTTCAATTTAGGGATTATTAAGCTCCCTACAAATAGTCAATATTTTTGGTTGGAACAAAGTCTGCATCGACAATATCCTCTATTTCAGAAGGATCATTATTCATATTAGCAAAAGGAGGGGAGAACGGTCTGTAGCCTATACTATATTGCTTCATCTGAATGTCCTTCAGAGGAGACTCTCCATATACAGAATCGCTTTGGTCAGTTGGTAACCTTTTACACCCTCCTAGTCCGTCATTCGAAATTATAGACTGTTTTGAAGCCAGAGTTGATACTTTAGATGCCTTTTTCCCACTACATTTAGCTTTCATTCTCATTTGAGCCTTCTTGGCAAAATAAAGGTAAGGATTCTCTTCCATTTCTTTAGGGTTCTTTTTTGTTTTAAACCCTCCGGTCATCCGTTTTGATTTACGAGATACTTGGGAGAAAGTGTCTGAATAAATCTCTTCTTGGATTTCATCTATTATGTTTTCTTCAATCTCTTCAAAATTGTCTTCCAAGTCATCTCCATCTTTGGACTTACTCCTATTGTGTTGGTCTCCAGTGGCAAACATCTGAAAGTAGTCATTGTTGAATCTCTTGGATTCTTCTTCGAAGTTGGATTCTTCTTCTGAAGCTTCTGAGCCAGAATTTTCAGGGAGGTTTTCTTCTATTTTAGATGCCTCTTTTTGGAGATAATTATGGTCAAATTTGCTAAGCGGATCAGTCACTTTGGCTGGCTTTTTAGAGATAGCTGGTTTAAGAGCGATAATTGGTGGAGGCTGTATCTTGGAATGTGTCTGTGAAAGAGAAATTGGCTTTAAAGCGGAAGCAGGACTTTGAAGGAAATTAGTCTTTATAGGCCTCTTACGGTTAAAACTAGTATCCTTTGTATCCGGTACTTGGAACTGTTGAAATTGCTTTCTTTCAGATTCTATTGGTGTATTTCCAGGTACACTAGTATCTGAGAAGAGCTCTTTTCCTCTAATCTCTTTAGTATAATGAGAAATAGCTGAATTTTTCGGTTTCAAATTTTTGCGAATGGCCGAAGTATTCCTATTTTTCCGATAGTTCGGAGCTTGGGGTGCGATCTTAGGAACACAATTTCTTTTATCTAGAGTTTTCTTATTCTCTCATGAGAATCCCTTGTTTCTACCAGGATGGCGTTTCTCCGAAAGCTTCAGAGGATTTATGTAACTGGAATACTCTTTATATTTGTTCTCTATCTGCTGGATTGTTTTCTTTTGTTTTTCAATCTCATAGGCTCTCTTTTTGTAGTTCCCAAGAAGAGGCCCTCTTTCCTTCTTTCTCAGATGAGTGGCCTGAATTTTACTCTTTCTAGGCTTCACTTCTTGAATTACATGGAGATGGTCTGCATCATTAACCAGGATGGTAGGACCTTCTACAGAGTTGTCTAAGAGATTGTTTGGATACTTCCACTTCTGTGGAACTTTATCAGAAGGAGAGGCTCCAAATGAAGAATTTGGAATTTTCCTCTTGTTCGGTATTTTTGAAATATATTTATTTGACTTCTTACTTTCATCTGAGTAGTATGCGCTGTTGTACTTAGAAGCATTCTGTGAATTAGTGTTACTGTAGTGGGAAAACTTTGAATCTCGGTTGATCTCTTGGAGACTCTCTTCCATGATGCTTCCTTCAAGACTTTCAAAGTTATTTAGTTTATTTTGAGAATTTGGGATAAGCTCTTTTGATCGGGAAGCATGATTTCTCGCTTTTGAGATACTTATTTTCTTTCTTGGTATGAACTTCTGGTTCACAATTGCTTTTGTAGGATTTTGCTGTGTTACTCTTTGGTTTGAACCAATTCTACTTTTCTTGATATCTTTTATGATCCGTACGTCCTTTATACTACCCCTTTTCTTAGATTGGTTGCTAAATGGGGAAATTGACCTCGCTCTTTTATTACTTTCAAATTCTTGATTGACTCTTAATCGTTCGCTAGTGTCATTTCTAGGTATAACCTTGTTTATGCCGCTCAAGATCTGTTTATTTGGAGCCTTTGACGGAATTGAGAGTTGAGATTTCTCCAGAGTTCATCCGTGTAATTTTACTTCAGCACAATTGATTAGAGTTTAGTCCGGTTGTGTTTGTACTTATCGATTCATTGAAATGGTTCTTGTCACTGGATCTTTTCTTAGTAATCCCGGGGCCACGAATATTATTATTCTTAGTTGTTGCTAATATTGGTGGCAAAATGTCATTACTAGAACAGTCATTCTTGATCTGAGCAAGATTGTTGCTTGGGAATAGGGACTTCTTGTTATTAAAAGTATTAGTGACCTTGGCTGATTGTAATCCTGCCCTTTTATTGTTAATGTTGGCTTTTAGGTAATTCATCTGCTTGCTATTTTTCCCTGATGGAACTTTCGGAATCCTTGGTGAGAACTCATGCGTATTATTAGGAGAAATCGTAGAATATTTCTCCTGATTTTTCTTCTTCCTTGCTGAACTTATCATTTGTTCACCTAGTCTCCTATGCATTGATGCTATTTAAGAAAATTTTATCAATATTATATTGAGTCAAGGGGTTTTGGGGTTTTGGGGTTTTGGGGTTTTGGGGTTTTGGGG